AAAAAACAGATTGTTAATAACCTAACCAATATTCACTGTTCATTGTAAGAAACAAAGACAATACACCTACTTTAAACAAATTATTCCACAAATAAATTCTAAATAGGACATTAGTATTTTTCCTACTTTCTTCAATCTTCTGTGATCAAAACTGAGATTTCTGAAAAATGCCTTAGCAAATTATCGATAAAAGGGAATGTTTGTAGCTCTGGGTTGAAATGAGGGGTTATTGGTGCTCAGTTTAATTGTTTTCTTAGAATATCCTCTAGGTCTAGGAGATATTTCTATATGTTTACCAGGATATCTCCTTTATGAACAAAAGCTTTGGTTCATTGATTAGCATTAGAATATAGTTCAATGTAACATCGATGTCAAGATTCCAGGTTTTTTTTCAGTCTAAACTGCTGCATTTTGAAATATCAGTTGCATTCTATAATTGAATTATATCTGATAACTAAATTCTAAATAACATGAATTGTAACCCCACCATCATACTTAATCATATAACAAATTAAAACTTTTACATTTTCTAATTACTGAACTGAATCCCCAGGAAACCTTCACTAATCAAGTTCAAACCCGCCCACAAAGAATTCAAGTTGTTCTTGCTATTTCCATCGTCATGGTAAGCCAAATGAGAATTGCTGTTGATATTGCCTTAGACAGCAGTAGCCATCATCTTTGAATAAAAACTCCTGCTTGGGATTGGGGAACCTTCTCTTGGCCCAGTTTCAAGAGACAATTCATTTTCCAATCAGCTTCTGGAGACCTCCAGTCAGACCCTAGAAAAGCTGAGCTGTAAAACCCAATAAATAGGAAAGAAAAAGTTTAAGAAAAAAGAAGCCCAGTAAGTCAGAAAGAATTTGCAACACTTTAGATGCATTTGGCTCCCGGCCAAAGACAGGTGTTGACAGAGATTCCCTCCTCCTCTCCAAAGGAGGAGGATTTCCTTGCCTTTCAAGTTTCTCCAATTCTAGGAGCGCTTGTAAAAGGCTAATATCTGGATGCAATTATCAACATGTGCTCTTTTTACACGGTAGTTCCCCTTCTCAGAAATTATTTGCAGTGCCCCACAGTCCCAAACTGATGTATCCACTTTACGGGGTGGGTTTATTCTCCCCGCATCTCACGCGATCCGTGAAAACTTACTGCTCGACCCGCGAGACCTTTTCGGTAGGCAAGGGGGGTGGGGGGAGAGAGAGAGAGACGGCCTTCCCCCAAACTTTCCACCGGCGACTCCCAGGCTGTCACCGTATAGCATCCTTACTTTCAAGGCTTTCTACGGGGATGGGTGGGGTTTGCACGAGACGGCGAGGCCACCTTCGCCCCAACACACCTGGGGGCGCGGGGGGGGAGGAAGACTCCTCGGAGCCGGCTGCTTCTTAAAAGCGCGCGGCCTTTAGATTTCAGGAAGTTTGACGCCGGACCGTGGCCTCTTTTGAACGACCGCCTGAGGGGGGGGGGGGGGGGGGAGGTTCTGCTGTAACTAGAAGTCCTCCAGCAGCAGCAGTCCAGAGGACTCAGGTTACTGCTGGCGCGCGGGAAGGCCCGAAAGGGGACTGCTTTTACTCACCGCTACTGGGGAAGGACTCCATTTTCCTCCTCCGGCGAGAGGCGAGCCAAAACACGAAAAAGGCGGAAAAGACAGTCAAGAACACGTCCGAAACCAAAACAAACAAAAAGCAAAAGCCGCCGCGGCTCCTCCTACACCTTGGCCTGCTGCTCCTCCTCCTCCTCCCGCAGCTGCATGTTACCGAGGCGGATGCGGCTGCCGGCCCTTTGCGGTCCTAGGGAGACTTCGTGCAGCCTCCGTCGCCGCTGCCTACAGAACAACAAGCCCTATGACGGGAGCAAGAGGACGGCCTCGGGAGGGAGCGCTGGTCCGCTGCCCACTCCACTCGCTTCCCCTCCCAGCCAAACGGCTCTGGCGGCTCGATGTCGAGGACAGGCACAGCCTTCAACCATTTTCTGCTTCCCAGCTTCTCCAACCCCTCCCCTGCTTAGGGATGGGCTGTTTAGCCGCCGCCGAGCCCACCTCCTCTCAACGCTTCGGGACCCGCTTGAGGAGGCCTACGCAAGTGCTTGAATCTAGGGGCGGCTGCGCCTGATCCAGAGAGCCTTGGGGAGCTTTTCCCCCCCGGATGAACCAGGGGGCCCCTTCCCACCGTTTGGAGCCCCATCTGTCTATTAATACGATTGGAATCAAGTCGAGCTGAGATGCGAAGTTTCACTTAGAAAGGCTTAATTTAATTTCGGGTTCAGGCCCGAAGAGTTTAACATAAACGTGTTTTTTTCATATTCTTTTTTTTCCTTCCGTGTTTTAAGATGTTTGCTGCCTCTCCCCTCTTTTTACCCCTTGAATTTAAAGCCAGTAAAATGCTCATCAAGTTGCAACATCTTAGACCAAACAAGAAGAGGTGGTAGTAAATCATATATAGACAGGCGGTAAAAGGTTTGCTGCTTATTGGGTTTTGGCAGTGCTGTGGTGTCTCAAAGCTGTGCAAGGAGTAACATACACCAAGCAAAGTTTTTTGCCCCTGAAATATGTATAAATAAACTGTCATCCTGCTTTTTTCATAGTTGCTGAGACACAAGGAAATCTGCCAGGAGAAGGAATCTTTTTTAAAAAATAATTCCCAGACTTGCTCTTTGTTTACAGATAAATCTGTTCCTGAATTTATTCTTTTTACAATTGTAATTTGCTATTAAATTGTAACCTGATGGCACCCAAAATGCTTCAGAATTAGTAATATGAACTTGCTTAAACTAACTGTCTAAATTCTCAATTATAGTTCTTAGTTACAATTATCCTTAGTTGCAATATATCCTTAGATATAAAGGATTTATAAACAAATCACCTTCATTTCTTCTTGTAATTTAAAACATATTTTACTATCGTCTTGGAGTTCTTGGAAGCTCACACCACCAATCAAAATGAGGAAATACAATCCAACCATTACAGCAGCAAAAAGTAACAGTCTGTCTATGGATAGTCTTTACCAATGCAACTGTGGGACAAGATTCCCTAAAGCAAATTCCAGAATACAGTCATAAGCACCAAATAGCCTCTATGAATCCTGCCAGATGAATTTTGATGACTACATCTAAATTCCATTGATGTTGCCAAGATAGATCAGGTATCAATCTGACTCTTTTTCTACTGATGTATATGTTTTTTGGAAGACATTTTTTTTGACATTTTATTAGGATTTATAGGCCGCCCTTCTCCCTGAGGGGACTCAGGGAGGCTTACAAT